AAAAAAAAAAAAAAAAAATTCTCTGCAGTTTCATTGTGTCCCCCTCTAACTCTATCCCACCCTCTCTCTCCACCTTCCTAGACGGTCTTTGACACCTTCCCTCTCCGCTTCACCCCTTCCCACTGGCTCCCCTACACTACTCTCACGAAGGTCACCCATGTTCTCCCAAATGGTCAAACCCCATGATAGCTTTTAGCGCCCATCGTACTTTCCTTCCAGCACCTTCGGGATCTCGCACTCGCCCCACATTAGGTGTATAAATTACTTAAAAATAAAATCTTAAAAAATAAAATAAGGAGCGCTTGGGTGGATCAGTCAGTTGAGTGTCCAGCTCTTGATTTCAGCTCAGATCATGATGCCAGGATCATGAGATCAAGCCCCACATGGTGCTCCATGCTCAGCATGGAGCCTGCTTAGGATTCTCTCTCTCTCTCTCTCTCTCTCTCTCTCTCTCTCTCTGCCCCTCTCCCCTACTCGTGCTCTCTCTCTCTAAAAAAGTTAATTAATTAAATAGGACCTTTAAAAAAATAACAGAGCCTTAAGGAACAAAATAACTAGATGCCATGGGTGATCCTGGATTGGATCCTGGTTTGGGCAAATCAGCTATAAAAGACATTCTGGGGACTGCGGAAGAACCTGAATACAGACTGGGAACTAGAAGAGATAAAAACAGATTAACACGGGAAGGTGGGGATCATGATCTGAAAAAAGGCAAGATGCAAAATAGTGTAGTCAACAGATGCGGTTTAGGTAAAGAAAAGATACAGAGAAAAGCTGAAAGGATGGGCACTAATGAGCAGATAAAGGTCATCTCCATGTGTAGATGCAGTATTTTTCTTTTCTTTTAAATAATAAAGTATTAGAAGTATGGGTTTGGAAAATCTTTTTCTCCATACCCATCCTGTCCTGACCGCCTTTCCCAGACAACCCCTCCACCAGCTTGCCAACTCAACCCCACTGCCTTCCCTGGGATCTAACATCACCCCTCTGCTTAAATCCCCCCAGGACCCTCCCAGCCTGTCTCTTGACACCTGCCCTTTCTTTCATTCTCTGTTCTGGCCACGCTCACCTATTCCTATTCTTCCACCTGCCCTCAGGGATCTTAGTCCACTGGAGAAGCCAGACAAACCAGCCTGGCCCAGTGAGTGGAATTCAGAAGTAGCTAAAACTACCCACAGAGCAAGGCCATTCATAAACAGCAATGCCTGAGGACCAGCCTTGTTGGTGGGGGAAGGCCTCAAGCTCAGAACTACATGTTTCCCCCAACCCTTCTCCCATTCCAGGGCCACCATCTACTTCATGCACAGTGCAGACAAAGGTCAGTGGAGAGAGGCTGAGGCAGGGGGCAGAGGGTACTGCCTGGCCTTTCTCCCAGGAGATTCCCCACTCCTCAGCCCAGGGCTTCCAGGTGGCACCTAGGGCTGTCCGCACTGGTGTCTCCCTGCTTTGGGAGGTCTGGGCCGAGGAAGACAGGGCCAGGCCAGAAGCCAAAGATGTGAAAGGGGCTTCCAAAACATAACCCAGCCCTCCTAAGCCTCTCTCCAATTATCAGAAGCTCTATATCCAACTCTTGGGGTAGCTTAAGAAGAAGCAAGAACCTCCAGCCTGAATCACTTTTCCAAGAGGCCCTTCTACTATGGGAATGTGAAGGTCCATGGTCAACCTAAGACAGAAACTCACCTGGTCAGAAAAGGAGAAAATTCCCAGCACACTTGGCCCAGGCTTTTGCTGCCCATCAGGGCAACAACAGACTTGAGGTCTGGGCTGACTCCACAGCTGGGAGCACATCAGGGCTGGGCTGCTGTGGGGTTTGAGGAGGAGGAAGGGAAAGCAGGTCAGGGGGCTGAGGGAGACAGACCAGGCAACAGAGCCAGCAGCATCAAGAAGGGATAATCCTGCCAAAATGCCCATGACCCCAACATCTTCCTCACAGGTTGTTCTTCGTGCCATTCCCAGGCCTGCCACACTGCAGCCCAGGGATGAGGGCGGCCAAGGCTGAGTTCCCCACAGAGGGGCCACAGGGGGCAGCGCCCCAATGAGCTGGGTGTCCTCAAGCCTGCGGTACTCACCCTTTTGTGGTAGATGGCGCTGTACTTGGCAAGGTTCTTGTCGGTGCAGCCACCCCAGCCCAAGAGAATCACCAAAGGCTGTCGTGTCCCCACCTCCTTCCCGCCTTGGTTGGGGCTGTTCTCTGAAACACAGACACAGTGGGACTGTCAGCACCAGAGCTGTCATGTGGGGTGAGGGTGACTGGCCAGTCCGGAGCCAGCACCACTCTAGCTGTAGGCAGGGAACCAACAGATGCCAGACCTAGGCATCCTGCCAGCCCCTGGGCCTCTGATTCCCACGGGGCTCGCTCCTCTGTCCTGCCTCAAGTGGCATTTAAGCCTCTTAGGAGGCACTACAGGGTCACTGGAAAAACCCACAAGAGGGCACCTTTCTTTAGTAACTCAAAGACATAGCCCAGGTGAGAAAAGTAAGTGAGGACTTTCTCCATGCAATTTCACCTTCTAATCCAGATGTCAGCAAATTACAAGTCATGGGCCAACTGTGACACGTGGTCTGTTTTTATATGAACCGCAGGCTAAAAATGATTGTTGTTATATTTTTAAATAGTTTAAAAAATAAAAAGAGAATCGTATTTTGTGACATATGACTTATATGAAATTCAAATTTGACTGTCCACAATAAAGTTTTATTGGAACACAGCCATACTCATTTACTTAGTGTATGTAGCTGCTTTCTTCCTAAAACAGCAGAGCTGAGTAGTTGCAACAGAGATCGTGTGGTTCACAAAGCCTAAAATACTTACTGGTCCTTTACAGAAAAAGTTTGTCAGCCCTGTTCTAATTTCACGAGCACATGGAAGAAGAGGATTTTTTAAGTACAGTTCACGCCCAACACGGAGCTTGAACTCACAACCTCTTGAGCTCAAGACCTGAGCTAAGATCAAGAGTCAAACATTTAACTGACTGAGCCACCCAGGAGCCCCAGGAAGAAGAGGATCTTAAAAGGAGAAATGGCTAGGACAGCACCAACAGGGAGGTGAAGCAGACTGACTCTGAGGGCCCATGCCAATCCACGCATCCTGTCCTGCCAGAGAATAATAATCGCCAATATTTATTGAGATGTAACCCTCCTAACAACACTAGGAGGAATATTATTGCAGATGAGGAAACTGAGGCACAGAGTGCTTAAGTTACTGGTCTAAGGTCACACTGGAAGTACACTAAGGTCACACTGGAAGTACACAGCTGGCAATCTGGCCCTTGCTCCCCATCCTAACTAAGCCACTTGAGACCTCCTGTGCCACGAGCACCACCCACAACTAGAAGCATGTCTCCTTCGGTGATATGCTAAGGCACAAAGCCAGCTGTTTCTTCTACGGCTGCTTTCAAAGAGGCCTCCCTGCAACCTTGTTGGTCAGACCTCATCTCATTCCCCCTGCCAAGCCAGTCAGGGGGACTTTCGTGCGGGGACTGTCTGTTACTAGTTATCTGCCCTCCCAAAAGGGCCAGGGTGTGCCCTTCCAAGTATCAAGCCACTTGGCAATACTCAGCTGCCACCTCGAGATTTATGGATGCCAGCGGTGACCTGGCAACAGTAAATTTCAAGGCTAGTTAAGAGGATGGTAAATATAAATCACTAACCTTTGGACAAAAGGAAGACAACAATTTCCTGTGGAAATTAATGTGATTGAAAAGTTCAATGTGCCTGCTCTCCAGCAGTGGTGACTCTGGCCTTCAGAGATTAACTACCCGCCCCCATGGGGATCCCAGGCTGGGTCGCAACTCAGCCTGGAGCAGGAGCTGCCAGCGCCTCAGTCCCTTCTGATGCCTGCCAGCGCTCCCAGGCTCCCCTGATGCTGGCCTGACCTCTGATAAGGGAGAAGGTCCTACACCAGGCCACTCCAGAAATTCTCACCACCTTTCCCAGCCTGGTGTCCCCACCCCCTGCCAGGGCAGCTCTTCGACTGCCCTGGCCCTTCTGGTGGAGAAGCCATATCTGGGGAGGACTTCCTGGGGATGACTCCCCATGAAGCTCAGGCTAGAGCAGTCTCAGGGGTAGCAATCAACAGCCACCCATTTGGATATGCCTTTGAATCTCTGAGACCCAGGAACTAGATGTCTGAGACCTGCCCCAGGGAGGCCCCCTTACCTCTGTGCAACTGTCTGAGCATAGGCTCCCCTCCCCCAGCCTATAGCGGTCCCCTCCTAGGCCACCACCAAGACACCAGCAAAGGGCCTTGGCATTTATCTCAAATACAGAGAGGGCAGCCAAGGGATGTCACACCCCCTGGTGGCCTCCTGAAGTTAAGGCCAGCCCCCACCAGTGGCACTGGTGCATTCCCAGTTTGGACAAGGTTCAAACAGCCTCTCCTGGGCCTCTGACCTGCCCCCTCCCAAAGCTGGATGTGAAACTCCATTCTGCTCCACCAGGTTTTACAGGTTCCCTTGGCTTCACCAACTCAGGTAGGGATGACCCTTCCCCTAGATAGGCATGTCCATGAAGAAACTCTCAGAATACGGACACCCTGAACACACTGCCTACTGCCAGAGCCCAGCCTTTCCATACTACTCCTAATGGGAGGCAACTGGCCCCTCCACTCAAGCCAGGCCCTCGAGGCTGCCCCTGAGCCACAGGTGCCCTTCCTGTCTGCAGGCATGCCCACTCCCCCGGCACAATCTCCTCCTGTGACCCATTCCTAACTGGAGCCTTCACCCTGACCTCCTCCCACCAGAGCCATGCTGCCCCTTCTGATTCTATATTTCAAGTGCTACAACCCAGAGAGGTCCAAGGTGCTTTGGCAACATGGCTGGGAGTGACAGAGACTGGGAAAGATCTCCCGAAGGAAGACACATTTGTTGTGCTGGCCCTGAGGCCCGTTAGGAGCTGCCAGGTGGAGAGAGGGCATGAGGCTTTGGAGATACTGCAGTTGGTCTGAGGCCCAGCAAGCAGTCCTGGGGGGTGGGGGTGGGGGGGTGGGAGGGCTAGAAGCCTGGGTGAGGAGAAGCAGTGGTTGGGAGAGCTGCCAGGAGCAGGTCTGGGGGCCCAATCCTGCAAGGCCTTTCAAGCCATGCACACGAGTTGGGATTTTATTCCACAGCAGTAGAGAACAAATGATGATCCTGGAATTAGGGAAGTGGCACAATCCAATCTGTATTAATAACTCGCACAATTATATAATGTCTATCTCTCCCTTTAGCTGGCAGGCTTTGTGAGGGGGGGGCACTGAGTGTGTCGTGTTTATCCCCACAACCCCCAGTGCCCAGCCCTGTAGCTGGCCCATTCAGGCACTCGGGAGACACGTGCTGGAATGAACATGTGGCTGCAAAGTGAAGGATGGATCCAAGGAGAAAGAGCTGGCATTCTTCTTGTTACCCATTGCCCTTTCCAGAGTAATAAAAGTAATTGTTATGGCTATTGTTATTTATTGCCACATCCAGATCATGATTCCTCCATCCTCCTATAAAAGCCCCTGTTCCTTTTATGCTCATTCCACTGGCCGTATCACCCTCTCCCCGCCGTGGCTGCTGCCCCCAGGGCCAAGACTCAAGCACTGGCTCCATCTCTCATTTATACTCCAGGACTTCCCATGACCCTGCAGAGGCAATCAAATCCACCTTGTTCCTAAACCATCACAGACCTCTCTGAATTCCACATCTCCCTCCAGCTCCTACCTCCCCCTCTTTTCCATCACAAAGAAAAACAATAATGATAACAGGAAAAGAGCATTATATGTCAAGCACTCTCTAAGCACTTTATTATCAACTCATTTAATCTTTGCAACAATCCCATGAACAATGTACTGTTACTATTCTCATTTTACTGATGGAAAACTAAGCCACAAAGATTATAAATGACTTGCTCAGGGTTACACAATAATCAGTGAAACTAGAATCCAAACCCAAGTGGTCTAGAGACCAGCTTGTCACCACTATCCCAGCCGGCACCCTGGGTAACAAAATCCAAGCCCCCAGTCTGTTTGTCTGTCTGTATTTATTTATTTGGTTCTTTATGTTTGAGGGAACACAAGCAGGGAAGGGGCAGAGAAAGGGGGACAGAGGATCCAAAGCGGGCTCGGCGCTGACAGCAGTAAGCCTGATGTGGGGCTTGAACTCACAAACCGCGAGATCATGACCTGAGCCAAAGTCAGACGGTCAACTGACTGAGCCACCCAGGTGACCCCCAATCCCCTAGCCTTAACCAAATCTCTATTACCTCAGCTCCAAACGTGTACACATAGCTCCCTCTGTACATTAACAGATCCAATGCTGACCTCTTCCACCTGCTTCTCCTCAGGGACTGGCTACCCCAACCAGAGCCCCAACATATGGGGCTTCATTTGGTCCTGCAATCATCCTAGGAGTTAGTTACTAATGTCCCCATTTTACAGATGGGAAAACTAAAACACAGAAGAGCAAGTCCCTCTCCCCAAGAACATGCAGCCAAGAAGTGGCAGTCAATGTCCATCTCTCTGGACCACCATGCCACCCTGCCCCACCCCGCTCCAGGACCTTGCACATGCTCCTCGTTCCCCAGCCCAGGATGCTGATGCTCCACGTTCATGCTTTGCTAATGCCCACTCCACTTGCTGAGTCAGCTCACTGTTTGCTTCCAGGAAGTCTCCCTTGATGTCTTCCTCAACCCCTTTTCATCCTCCACCCCAAATCACCAGACTGGTTAGATGCCCCTCTTCTGTTCTGTCACAGCACCTGTCATCACCATGCCACCACACTTATCACACTGCATGGGCAGTGCCCATTAGGAACAGACAGAAGGCTGCTGTAACGTGCAAGGCAAGAGATGGCAGAGGCCTGAACCAGAACAGTGGAAGCCAGGTGGGAGGGCAGAGGGAAATGACAGGGACAAGAGCAATTTTGGAACATGTATCAAAAGTCTCAAAAACATTCGATCTTTGACATAGCAACTCCACTTCTAAGAAAGAAAAGTGTTTAATCATATGAAAATACTCAATAATACCTTAGGAAAATCAGAAACATTAACGTAGGAGCTAAAACTATAGAAAACAGAGGAGTCAATTTTTGTGGCCTTGCGCAAGGCAATGGTTTCTCGGACATGTACAAAAGTACAAGGAATAAAAGAAAAAAATAGATAAATTGGGACTTCATCCAAATTAAAAACATGTGTACTTCAAAGGGCACTATCAAAGAAGTGAAAATAACAAGG